CCCATTAAATAGTTCGACAAAGCCGAACGTGCTGTATTAATTGTGGAATAGGATAGCTCTTTGATGTGTAAACTGTGCAGAAACTCTAACACATCATTGATATTTGGGCGCAATGAATCAACTTTCCTCTGTAGACAAAATCCACCCCACCTCCTGATGTGAACCTCATATTGCTTCTGTGTACTTGGCCTCCATGAGGACATGAGGACATTGGTAATGTCCTCAGAAATGTTGCATTCAATGAACTGTTGCCTGATACCTTGCATGCCATGAGTTGCAGTTTGCGGCTCAGCGGATGAACATCTCAGTGAACTGGATGGCAAAGCACTTTCCTGGTGACAAGGAACATTCTGGGCCGATGGATCAGGAGACTTAGAAGCCTTGTAAACCAAGCTTGTGTGGTCCACAGAGGTACTATGATGGTCACTGTTGCTTGTTCCAAAAATATTTTTTGGAGACATCTACTGATTAAACAGAATGGTGGAAACATATAACTGTTAGAGAACTGGGACCAATTCACAGTGAAAGCATCGACATAGGTTGCACAGGGATCTTGTTTCCAAGAAACATAGGTATTCGTTTGATGGTTGATTCGACTGGCAAACAGATCAATCTCAGGGACCCCATACAACCCACAGATTCTGTCAAATAGAATAGGATTCAGCTGCCATTCTATCYCATCCTCAAAATGGCGCGACAGTGAGTCTGCAATGGCATTCAGCTGCCCCGGCTGATGAGCCGCTGAGAGCCAGAGGTGCCGACTGATGGCCCATAACCAAATGTCCTTAGCAATCTGAGTGCATTCCTTACTCTTACAACCTCCCATAGCATTAATATAGGACACTGTGGTAGTATTGTCAGATAAGATCCTAATGTGTTGGTTGGATACTGATTCAAAAAGGGACATGAGCCCCAGTTTAACTGCGAGCATCTCCAGGACATTGATATGATATTTCCTCTCCCACTTGGGACCATAGACCTTGGGTTTGACTTTGGGAAGTCCAAGCACCCCAACCCACAGAAGATGCGTCAGACGTAAGAATCATGGTTGGGATACCATGCACAATGTTTCTCCTTGCAGCAGGGAGGGAACTGACCCACCATTCTAATTCTTGGAGACTTTCCCTGGAAAGGGACATTTTCTCATCAAAATCCCCTTGGGTAGCTTTTAKGGACACATCTTTGTCCCATTCTAAATTTCTATAATACAGCGGGCCAAACTCCACCCCAGAAAATGTTGATACCAAAGTTCCTATCAATGATGCAACTTCTCGAATGGTATATGCCTGTCCACATAAATACTTCTGACACATAAGGACAATTTTCTCAATCTTCCTTGGGGTCAAACAAACCGTCATGGTGTCAGAATTTAACACGAAACCCAAAAGCTCTAATGACTGTGTAGGATTGAATATAGACTTGGTTGGGTGAATGACAAAACCTAGACGAGTAAACAGCTGAGCTGCATGTATGGTAGCCTCACGACAGGCATCTTCAGTATCGTCCGTGAAGAAAGAGTCATCAAGATATCCCAGGCAATTATGTCCATATTGAGTTCGTAAAGTGGAAAAAACARGTTTGAGGACCTTCGTAAAAATACGTGGACTACTTGTCAACCCCATTGGTAGGGCCCGAAATCGAAACAGGTATCCCCTCCATGCAAACTTGAGAAACATTCTATAGGCAGGAGATATTGGTATGGATATTGTTATGGTAAGTCACTGATTGGTTAAGGGACTTTAAATTGAAAATCATTCTGTAGACCCCAGGTTCCTTCTTAGGTATTAGAAATATAGGTGAAATAATCTCCCCACGTTCTGACTGACACCGTTCAATAATTTGCTTTTCCAAAAAGGTGTCAATCTCTCTATCAACAGCTTGTTGYTCTGTCAATGTGAATTTGAATTCTGGGTGTAAGGAACTTGAAGAGCCATTTGATGGCATAGGAATGCAATCAAACTCAAGTTCACAATTAGACACACATTGTAAGACAAAGGGGTCCAAGGTAATTGTTTTCCATTCCTCTAAACAGTGTTGTAATTGGCCAGCTCTAAATGGTGTCTCTGACCCAATAATAGCATGAATTTGAGTTATGTAACTAACCTGAGCTCTGGAAATTATTGATGAGACTCTTTGTCGGTCTGAGTGCGTAGTCTGGCTCCTCCCCTCCTGCGATAGGAGCTTCTCTCTCCTAAAAAAGACCTTGAGCCATAAGCTCTGCCATCTCTTGAAGATGAAGAGGATCTTTGCCGGCTTTGGCTGTTGTAGGGGTGTTAACCTTTACGACTGCCTCTCTTGGATGACATTTTCTTTGAAAGCTTGTTTGCCTTATTTACCTCGTCAATTTCTTTTCCAATGTCATCCCCAAACAGCTGATCTGTAATCGGCGTAGTAGGGTTGCAAAGCGAAGCAAACTGCGAATTCAATTCAGGCCTTAAGGACTCCCGCCGGCGAAGGTTCAGTTCTCGATTACCTGCCAAGGCAAGGACTAAAGAGTGTGCAAGAACAGACTTCATCTCTCCTGTTGCCTTCTCGCAGGCAGACATCATGGCATACACGGCAGTAATAAAATACTGTTGAGACTTTTGAAAAGCCCTATCTGTGGCTTTGGTATTCTGGCTTAACTGATTCCAAACAGCTCTATTGACTTTGGGYGAGACCAGCAATTTGCAATTTTCTGGTCGAAGATATTTTGACATCAAATCGTCGAGTTTTGACTTGGGTAGCTTTTCTTTAACCAGTTCCTCCACCATGGTGGCTAATTTAGAATCAACGGCTGGTCCAGTCTTATCTGATGTAGAGAATTCATCTGCAAGATTGTCGAAACCAGAAGTGGTATTACCCACATAATCGTCGAGAAGGTTATTGACTTGTGACGAATCCCTGTCCTTTTCTCCTGAGGAAACGCTGTGTTCAGAATCTGAGTCGTCAACAGGTCCAAGCTGCTCCTGAATCTGATTAGTGATCTCCTGTTTGAATGTGTTGAACATTCCCAACATCTCATCTTTCCAAGATGGCGGAGGTGAACCCCTCGTGTCGTCCGCCATGAAATAAATTTACTGGAAAATAAACCAGTAGGGAGCAACCATTAGTTTATTCCAGCAAAATAATGAATATTTCGCAGAACTATGGTTGGAACTCGGGAAACTATGACTCTCTTTCCCAAAAACCGCCTAGGATGCATAAATTTCGGCGGTGTAAGTGAGGCATGAAGCACTCGACTTACAATCAGATTCGCTTGGACGGAGTTTGCATCATAAATATGACTTGAAAAATCTAAAACGAAAGAAGATAAAAGAAGATAAAGTAAAAATATCCCAAATTAAACTTCTTACCTAATGAATGAAGTGAAAAATATTATCGATAAAGTCTCCACAACTTCGAAGGATTCGAAGAGATCCGAACTCCACGGCTAAGCTTTGTGTACTGAGCATCCACGGCAGCACGTGTGCATCTCATGTTAACCGGAAGTGACGTCACCGTGATTTGGTAGAATTTACGATATCATGCGCAAAATTAAAAAAAAAATGTTTTATTATACATTTGTTAAACTAATAATAAAGTTTTAATTCTGCTTTCAAATAAATAGCAAACACATTTCAATCTCTATTGTGTCTTTGAATGAACTTGACATGATAAATGTAATTTCTGCACGAAAACCTACAGACATTATATTTATCATTTCGTTTTCACACGATATCATGGATTGGCTGTAGGCTCTCAAATGAGAAGCGACATATTGAGTAAAATTAAATGTTTAATAAGCAGCTTATTATGTAATATTCATCGACTTAGAAAGCTTAGAAATTTGAATAAATATCGAGTCCATTTTTGTAGTTTTTCCCGGCTGACTTTTGTTGCTTTAACCGAAAATTGGACAAATTACGCAATAGTACCCAGAGGTCTTCACAACCTTACCCAAAAATACTCTTGCGGGCTTCTGCTATTGATGGTTTTCAACCATTCCCAAGAGAATTAAATAACAAAAGACACGGAAGCCATGTTGGAGGATATAACAAAAGAATTCATTCAGAATTCTTTTGTTAAGTTCCTCCAACATGGCCGCCGTGAAAACCATCAATAGGGTTTTTATGAACAGTCCGAGAGCCGGTTGTCCAATACTGTCGAATTGTTACGGATCGCCGGTGTGGGCTACGATTCGTAAAATTCATTGATATGCATAAAACATACATATTATTCGTGTTTATTTAAAGTTTCATGTTAGCACTGTTTAAAATGCTTATGGTAATCCAGTTTTTAAAATGTTTATGGTCACCCTGTGGTAGTTCCAAAAATCCCCATTCTATAGTACTTTCGTGGATGGAGGTGCATCTAATTATCATTTGCTACAGTTTGTACGATCCGTGCATCTAGTTTTCGATTGGTAGTAATGTGAAAGTACCATCTCTACGTCCGGTGCCACCGGTGCGGACCGGTGCTCTCCCCCCAGACCCCCTCCGGGCCGGTAGAAGGAACGTTGGTATGCATCATAGCATATTTATATTTAGCAGGGCCCAGTTTTTAGAAGGTTGAGGGGTTGGTATGAGTCACATCTATTTTTAGATGGGTAGATTGCACCACCATGACGCGATAAAGAGGTTTTTCGAATTTTTTTCAAAAATCTTTTTATTATTATTCATGAAACACTCAATATAAAGTAGAAATATAAAGATAATTTACAACTCCTTTCAATATTTAACTAAGTAAATTTTTCAATTGTCAGTAGATCATTGCTAAAGTAAACTTGTCAGTTGAAACAATTGAGGACTCATCAAAAAACTTTTGCATAATTATGGAGCTAGTCAAGCGAATCACCTACTTGAAATCGAAACTACTTTAAATTTAGCTTAACATTACAAAGTTACTGGTTAGAACTTTTCCCACTCGGGTAATAAAACAAAATATTCAGTTCCGTTCCATTTGTGGTTTCCCTCGTCATCCATTTCTTCGCTCTCCTGTTGTGGTACAATAAGTTTCACGTTCTTTAATTTTAACGAGATCTGGTTAATCGAAAGGCAGTCATTACAGTAATAAAACATTTTCTTTGTGTTTGTAGATTCTCAGGGAACACTCTCGTAGAAATGTCACACTGAACCACCTAATTTAGTTGAGTAGAGTGACATTCATGCCAGTGACATGTGGGGCACTGTAATGTATTCATTGATTGACACATTTATGATTAGCATAACCACGTGTGTATGTACCCAAGGAACCCAAGCCAATAAACAGAGAGTACAAAACATGGTGTCAGATTAAAGGGATAAAATCCTGCCAAAAGTCCTACAAAACCTAGAAATGGCTGAAGGATACGGACGAGGATACTCCTGGCCAGTCTTGGACTGGAAAGCAAGCGATTTACCAAAAGAATGGGAACGTTTCTACCAACACTGTGAATTCGTCTTCGGAGGACCACTCGCTAAGTGTACAGAAAATGAAAAGATTTGTAATCTGATGAACTTCGTCGGTGACAAGGGCTGAGAAATGTATCTTTGTTTTGAGTGGGGAACAGTTAAGATTGGAGATGAGGAAGTCAGCGAGAAAAAAAGTGCTAGAAAAGGTCGCAGAAAAATTCAAAATACAAATCGAGTCAAAGAAAAATCCCATCATGGCGGCGGTACTCTTTGATAGACGACGACAACAGGTCGGTGAGTCGTTTGATGATTTTGTCACAGATCTTAAACTACTCTCAAGAGGTCTAGCATTAAGTGAATCAGATAAACTGATTCGCAATGCTATAGTTTGCAAATCTAGAGATGAAAGAGTCAGACAGAGATGTTTGGAGAAAGGAGCAGAGTTAACGCTAGACAGAGCAATAGAGATGGGTCGAAGATTGTGTGAAGCGACGCAAGATGGTTTGAAGATAATTGACGGCGAAGACGCCAAAATAACCGTGAACAAAATCGCGCATAAATCTAGTGGAAAAAGCAAACAAAAGATAAAGCGGAAAGCAAAGCCACCGAAGAAAGTGTATGAGAATCCGCCAAGTAGAAAAGAAACATGTCGCCGGTGTGGCTATGAAGCTCATGAACAAGGCCAAAAATGTCCAGCCAAGAGTGAAAAATGTAATGTCTGCCACAAAATTGGTCATTTTGCACGCGTGTGTCGAAAACGTAGAGAAGTCAGTAGGATAAACGAAGTCAGCGAAGAAAGTAGTAGTGATGAAGATATGAAGCTACTCGAAGTTCTAAGCGTGAACACAAAGAACGCCAAAGATAATGAATGGTGGGAGACAGTGGAGATAGGCACCTCAAAAGTTGAATGTCAGCTGGATACAGGAGCAAAAGTGTGTGTGGTGAATTTGACGCAATTATACGACATAGAGCCAAATGCTGAGATAACGCCAACCAAGAAAAAACTAGTATCGTACAGTTGTCACACCATCACTCCTCATGGTTATTCATGTCTAGAAGTACGCCACAGGAATACCAAATGTCGGTTAAAGTTTTACATCGTAGACAACAGTCATAAGCCAATTCTGTCTGCAGAAGCGTGTAAAGTCCTTGGACTAATCGAGAGAATTCACTCCATTGACAAAGAAGTCACGGAAACTCTAAAGGAATTCCCAGCCTTAGTCGAAGCCACGGGAGCACTCCCAGGCATCTATACTCTCAAGATTGACCCAACAATAAAACCAGTAGTCCACGCCCCAAGAAGACAGCCTGCTGCTCTATTACCAAAAATAAAAAAGAAACTGGAATAGATGGAGTCCCAAGGTCATCTTGTCCGAGTCACAGAGCCCACAGACTGGGTGAACTCGATGGTTGTATCAACTCGTGGAGATAAAGTAAGAATATGTCTCGACCCGACGGACCTAAACAAGGCGATAAAAAGGGAGCATTACCCCCTCCCAACAATAGAGGAAGTAGTCGCCAAATGCCCAGACGGAAAACTCTTCTCAGTCTTGGACGCAGAGAGTGGATATCTACAGATACAACTAGACTACGAGTCAAGTCTCCTGACTACGATGAACACACCCCTCGGTCGCTACCGATGGACAAAATTACCGTTTGGCATTAAGAGCGCCCCAGAGATTTTCCAAAGAATAATGTATGAGATGTTAGGAGGCATTGAGTACGCCAACGCAGTCATGGACGACATTCTGGTAAGCGGAAGAAACAGAGAACATCACGATAAAGTACTACGCCAGGTCCTAGAGCGTGCCCAAGCTTACAACCTACAGCTCAACCTTGACAAGATGAAGATACGCAAGACGGAAGTATCATACGTTGGACACGTCGTCACAGCAGAGGGACTGAAACCCGATCCGGAAAAAGTGAAGGCAGTTCTCGAAATGCCACCCCCAGACTCGAAAAAAGCAGTACGTAGATTTCTTGGCTTTGTCCAGTACTTATCCAAGTTTCTCCTAATGCTAGCAGAAGTAGAAGAACCCCTGAGAGAGCTTACGCACAACGATGTACAGTTCCACTGGGACAAGCCTCAGCAAGAAGCATTTCAAAAACTCAAAGAATTGTGCTGCAAAACCCCAGTACTCGCATACTACGACGTCAGGAAGAAAACAGCGATCCAGTGCGACGCAAGCAAAGCTGCTGTTGGTGCTGTTCTGTTGCAAGATGGAAAGCCAATAGCCTATGCTTCGCGTAAGCTACGACCTTCAGAGTGCAACTGGGCGCCAATAGAAAAGGAAATGCTCGCTATAGTCTAACGTACAGAGAAATTCGGAGAATATATTCTTGGCAAGGAAACACTATTGAAAACAGATCACAAGCCCTTAGAGATCATTTACCATAAGCCACTACTTTCTGCAACGCTAAGACTACAAACAATGTTACTGAAAGTCAAGGGATATGATCTCAAAGTAGAGTATATCCCAGGAAAGAAACAACTGTTAGCCGACACCCTGAGCAGAGCAGGTATTGAAGAAACTCCCAAGCAAGAAGAAGAGGAAGAATTTCAAGTTAACACGATAGACAAAATGTCAGTTTCTAAGCCAAAGTACACAGAGTTCCAACAGAAGACAGCCAACGAACTTAATGAACTCTATTCAGTGATACTGACAGGATGGCCAGACAGCAAAGAGGAAGTACCTCACAATGTTAGACCGTTTTGGAACGTAAGAGATAAACTGGTGGTACTCGATGGAATAGTCTACCGAGGTATGAGAATTGTAGTACCCCAGACAATGAGAGCATCAATGTTAGACGTTATACATAACACTCATCTAGGAGTAGTCAAGTCTAAACAAAGAGCAGGGGAAACACTATACTGGCCTGGTATGAGTGCGCAAATAGAAGATAAGATAGCCAACTGCAGCATCTGTCAAGCATACGCGACAGCTCAACCGAAAGAGCCCATGATAGCAACAAAGCCCCCAGACCTTCCATGGATGCAAGTAGCCTCAGACATTTTCTACTTCGAAGGACACAACTACATACTAACAGTCGACTATTATTCCAAGTATATAGAGGTAACCAAACTAACAGACGTGACCACGTCACAGACAATCGAAGCTTTGAAAGCACACTTTGCTGCCCACGGAATACCTGAGAAGTTAATAACAGACAATGGAACACAATACTCAAGCTCACAGTTCACACAGTTTGCCAAGGAGTATGGTTTTGAACATGTAACAAGCAGCCCTCGTTACCCCAGTTCCAATGGTGAAGCTGAAGCCGCGGTGAATACTGTGAAGAGGATGTGGACCAAATGCAAAGACAAGCAACTAGCCCTTCTGAACTACAGAGCTACCCCTCTACCAGGTATCGAACTTTCACCATCACAGTTACTGATGTCACGCAGGTTACGGACGACATTGCCAACAGCTCGAAACCTATAAATCCCAACCTCCTACAACATTACAGAAGTAAAGAGAGTGATGAGACGCTTTAAAGAAAATCAAAAGTTGAATCACGATCGACGTGCAGCGAATGAACTGACGCCGCTAATCAAAGGGGATACTGTTAGGGTAAAGCCAAATCCAGGATCGAAAGAATGGAAAGAAGCCACAGTAATCGGACGGCACGACACTCCAAGATCCTACATCGTCGACACCGGAGAAAGAAGAATAAGACGAAACAGAGTTGCATTACGGAAGACAGCCCCAGCAATTAACCCCAGCCAAGCCCCGCAGACACAACACTTGTTTGATGATGAACTACCAAGTCTCAAGTCTGAAGTGCCAGCTACTACCTCTAAGAACACAAAACGTCAACAGGAAACAGCTACCCCAAGGACATCGAATAAAGATCCAGAAGCAGCTACACCTCCAAGCTGCACCACTGAAAGCAAGACATATACTACGCGAAGTGGAAGAGCCGTGAAGAAACCTATCAGATTCGGATTCCCGTGAAGTGAACAAACATTGAACTTTGTCATGAACAAACGTTGATATTTATAAGTTGAATTTCACTTGTTGTTTTCAGTAGATAAGAAAGGGGATGTAATGTATTTATTGATTGACACATTTATGATTAGCATAACCATGTGTGTATGTACCCAAGGAACCCAAGCCAGTAAACAGAGAGTACAAAACAGGCACCGTAATACAGATATCTTGGAAAACTGTCGGGGTTCTTGACAAACGTGACACTAGCTCTTTGTTCTTATTCATCGTAATTCGATTCCTCATCCATGCTTTGTTCTTCCTGTGATTCCTCCCTTTCATCATCACTGCTCTGTTCTTTCTCTTTGTTCTTCATACTGTTCATGATTATGAGATGGATCATCACTTGACTGACTTTTAGTTTCACTGCTGCTATCATCCGTTCTTCGTCTTCTGGTTGCGTAGCAACGAGATCTACCAACATTTTTTGATTGTCGATAAGATTTTTGTTCAGTGATGCCCAGTTCTACCAATCCATTGATGAAACCTCTGGGTGTTCTGACATTTGGGTTGTAAGGTAGTAAAGCGTATTCAATGAGTTCCTTCATGCTGGTGACTGGAGTTCTTTGCTGATGATGTCATTTCTCCAGGCGAAGTCCAATATAAAATGTCCTTAGTGGAGAATTACCAATATACCGATATACCAATAACGGACCCAGGGCGCCCATCAGGGTGATGCAATATCTTCAACGAATCCTCCGCCCTTTTAGGCCAAGATTATTTCCTTTGTTTTCAAAGGCTCTGATGAACCAGCTAACGCCCGAATATCACCGGCATGAGATATTAAATCTTTCTTTTTGAAAGTAAGGAAGTGGAATAACTCCTTTCAATAGATTATGGCAGACCTCACACATTACATGAACTTGTTCCGGAGTGGCAGTTGTAAGCAAAACATTCTTCTGAGGCAACGGACCAAAAGATGTAAATAGCCAAAATTATCACGAAGCAATTGAGTCATGTTTTCTCTCCAAAATCCTGCTTTAAATGAATGTTGTTCAGAGGGACTTTAATTTATCAATAATTACTCGACCCAAGCAAAAGGAGCCGAGCTGAGCCAAAGGAGCCGAGCCTAGCCGAGCCTAGCCGAGCCAAAGAAGTCGAGCCGAGTCGAGCCGGGCCAAAGGAGCCGAGCCGAGCCGAGCCAAAATTCATGCATAAACTGGTGGGTAGTTAAATAGCCCAGTTTAGAATGTTCTTTCTCTTTCTCAAAAAAAATTGAAATGTGTTGGTTGTGTTCTGTATGTGGGAATCAGTACAACATGTATGGTTTCACTTAAGCCGTGTCCACAAAGTCCATGGTCAACACTGAAACTACTCCTGCGTCAGGAAAATGGGTAGCAAGTCAGCAATGAATCAATCCCCCAACCCACAGATAGAAAATGCTGAAAACGATTATTTACAGCCGTCGTAGCAGGGAAGACAGGATCCGGAAAAACAGATTGGGTTCAGAACTTGCTGAAACATGCAACTCAAGTCATCAGTCCGCCACCACAGAGAATTGTATGGAGTTATACTCAGTCGGTAGCAACCTGCTTACGAGCACATGTTGAAAACCATTCCAGGAATCGAGCTTGTGTAAGGCATACCGCACAACCTGGATGAAGATTCGTACCTTAACCCTCAAATCAATACTGATTTTGTGATTGACGATCAAATGACTGAGACGTCCAATGCCAAAAGAATTCTAAATTTGTTTACTAAAGGATCTCATCATCGAAACCTTATGCAAGGTTTTCTAATGCAACATCTTTACTTTCAAGGAAACATTATGCGCACCTTGAGTCTGAATGCCTCGTACCTCATTTTGTTAACAAATCCAAGAGACAAACTGCAAATGATGAACTTTGGAAAACAGATGTACCCAGAACTATGAAAAACAGAACAATTTATTCAAAAATATGAGGCCGCCGTCCAACGACCTTATGACTATCTTTTTGTGGATCTCATACCCAATACTCCAGAGGAGTGTAGACTTGGGACCAACCTTCTCCCTAATGAGACAATTTTCCAGTCGGACCCTACAACAGTATAACAGTATGGGGGACAATCAGACGTCATGCAGTCTATTGCCAACTATTCCGAACATCAAAGTTGTTTACAGAATCACCTCTATTAAAAACGGAGCAGAGTTTAGAGGAGCCGATGACTAGCATTCTAAAGGCACCTAGTGTCCCTGCGGAACTAAAAATAAAAGAATATTCACAACTCTACAATCGATATATCGATCTGCAGCAGAAGCTTCAAGTAAGTAGTTTACCAAACAAACCAAGACTGGAAATGGTGCAAGCACCACCATCAGCTAGTCCTAGTCTTCTCACTAATATTACGACTCTAAAAAACGTTCCATCATCAAGACTCACCAGTGACAGTGGCTACGCGACGCCTCAAACTAAAACGACTCCCTTTCTAGTGCGCCTAACCGCAAAAATTAGAACCCCTCCTTTTGAACCCAGCAGAGTTAAACCATCGAACTCGACCTAGGTTGTCTCCACTCCATTGAAAACCACAACTAAAATATGCTACTTAGTTAAATGATGAAACGAGTTTTAAGTATCTTTATATTTCTACTTTATATTGAGCGTTTCATGCATAATAAAAAAATTGGGGAAAAAAAACCAGTAAGTCAACAAACAACGACATCTGAAAATTTATTCAACTTTAATGATTGATTAGAAATGAAAAGTCGGATCCAAGATAAACATTGTGTGTTGTTGGAAACAATAGCCAACACGTGCCTCATATTAGAGAACGCGAGCCACAAGCACACCTCATAAAATTCGAAAAACTTTTTTATTGCGTCGATGTGGTGCAATCTACCCATCTAAAAATAGATATGACTCATAACACCCTCTCCACTTCCTAAAAACTGGGCCCGACTAAATATAAAATATGATGCATACCAACGTTCCTTCTACCGGCCCGGAGGGGTTATAGGGGGAGAGCACCGGTCCGCACCGGTGGTACCGGGCGTAGAACTGGTAATTTCATACTACTATTGGTACCGTTCGCGAAAACAGTCTGTCGTGACCTGTAACTTAGCTAAAAAGTTAAGAAGTTACTCGTAAAATTTTGCTGAAGTGTCCGCCATCTTTTATTCCTAGGAATCAACACAATACAATATACAGTATGTGAGAAACTAGTTCGATTGCATATTTGCATACATTATGATAATTAGAATAGACACGATATCACACAGTCAAAGTGTGCTTTACTGGGTTCCTCACCATTCTTGCAATCCGTACCATTCGTGCATCTAATTACCGTACGTAAAGACAGCTAAACTGTGCTTTACTTGGGTCTTCACCATGCGTACGATACGTACGATCCTTGCATCTTATCTGGCGCTTCATTGTGAATCTTAGATTCGAAATCTTGCACTATTTACTCTTGTCAGAGAGTTAAGGTTATATTAAGTGGAGCAAAAAACGAAGAGACCAAGAAGTATAAACACCAGTTTCAAAACATTTCTGCACGAATTTGCATAAAAAATTCCCCAACTTTGCCATGTAAAAAGAAATAATTTTCAGAGGGAATAAATTCATTTCTTAGGACTTCAGCAGTCAGATTTGTTTGGGCGAACTGATCTTGTTAGTTGATCGCTATGAGAAGGAAGAACTTCTAGTCGTCTCGGTAAACAACTAGGTAATTTGCTTCAAGAAACATATTTTCTGTTCTTCATCCGAGTACAATTTCATGACGACGGGCAAGTTTGGGCGGGAATTTTATAAGTAGTGTGACATGCATAACACAACACGGTTAGTAGTGGAAATAATCGCAGAGCCAGCAACTCTTTTAGAACTACACCACTTTGCTAATACTTGCGTATTTCGTAAATTT